ATTCAATATGAGTTGAATATCCAAAGCTCGAACCCGAAACATTTTCCACAGACAGCTAATATATGGAAATCATTTGGCCAAGCAAACAACATAAATTGCCATGTCTCTTTGTAACAAAGAACCCTAAATGCAAAAAAGAAATACAAATTGCAAGAGGATAAAGGAAAGCCATAGACAGAGTAAAGTAAAAGAATAACAAATGTATTCCCAAATTGAAACTATAGCTGGATAAGTAGAAGCATTGAACTAACCCTCTGAACTGCAAGGAGTTACCTGGTTTATCTTATCCCCTGAGCGAGGCGAGGTCATAGAGAAGACGGAGATATATTTATTTGTTTACACCTTCAACTATACTAGTTAGAGCTGTCAAAACGGGCTGACGGGACGGCCCGTAGCCCGCTAATTGGCGGGGCGGGTCTACAAAATGCATGCCCGACCCGCCCTCGCCTCGGGTCGCGAGTTTGGCCCGCTAGTTTTTTTTGTTATTTATTATCTAATTATTTCATCAAAATGTGAACAAACTCAACAGAAATTTATCAAAGCATTGAGCAACAAGGGCTATTGTATGGCTGTCATTTTATTGACAATAACTAAATAATTGAGAATAAATTAGCCAAAAATTTATCAGTGAGCAACCTTATCACACATCAATTAGGGATGCACATTCGGTTTGTCCAGTATGAAAATTGAAAACAGAACCGAAATCTACGGTTCGGTTCGGTTTCAAACCCAAAAAAAAAAAAATCGAGAAATGACAATTTAAAATCCACAACCCTGCTTCTCAAAGCCTCAAATCAAAGACATAAATTTAACCAAAAAAAAAAAAAAAATCTCGAGCTTAAATTGAAATTCAGCAAATCTGTCAAATCAAAACAAAATACTCACGAGTTAAAAAAGAAGCGAGCTTCAAATTCAAAGTCTTACAGAATTGAAAAAAAAAAACACGAACTTGAGGCGTAGCCCGTACGAGGGAATCTAGGTGGCGAACTTATTTGAGATGACCTTTATAAATAATGATTTACATATATGTGTCTGATTATGATTACTAGTAATTAACCCGTGCATTAGCACAGAGGAGAATAATTAAAAGAGTTACGCATATAAAAAAAAATACAAAATCATGATTTAATTAAAAAAATATGAATTAAGAAAATAATTCTAAATATTATTAAACATTTTTTTTTATACAACATTCAAGGTTATTCTATCGTCGGAATCACCATCACCACATATCATTATCTTCAAACCCTTCCGATTTGTGACTTTAGAAAGAGCCACGTACAACTGTCCATGACTGAAAAGATGTTTCTTCAAGACTAAACCGACGTGTGAGAGAGACTGGTCTTGACTCTTCTTGATCGTCATAGCATAGGACACCGAGATTATGTGTTTGATAGCAGATTTTGAATACAACATTCAGAGATGTTTGATAGTAGATTTTGAATTTTTAAGAGTATTATGTGTTTTTGCAAAAAAAATTTTAAAAACAAATAGGAATTATATTTCAACTTTAGGAATAAAGTAAATTAGATTATGAAGAATTAATTCACATGTTTTTTAACTATTTAAGACATTAGAACAAAGAAAATAAATTAAATATATATAATGACATGATTTCTCCACCCACATGTATATAAAATTAATTGTATGATTATAGCATGATGTTATGATAGTGTGATGTATATTACAAATTAGGGTAATTTTTTTTTCAATTTTTTGTTATTTGTTGCTTTTGTTTAATGATATCACATTTTATAATAATCGTTATTTAAAGTGATAGTATGACATTTAATAATAATAGCTAATATTTCCATTGTTAATTTATTTATTGTTATTTTGTAGGTACAATAGCAACAACAAATTGGAGATTGATATTTATTTCAATTTAAATATGTAATTTTGTAATTTAATTTATTTGTTTATTATTTGCAACTAAAATGATTATATATCAATGCTTACACGTTTTATGTCCAATAATTCAAATAAAGTGCATGATTTGAGGTTGTAATTTAATTTAAAAATAGAAGATAATTATTTCAATATAATAGGATATATGATTAAATGCTGGAAATTTTGAAGAGATAATAAAATTAAATGCTCAAATTTTGGAGGGATAATATAATTAAATGCTCAAATTTTAGAGGGATAATATAATTAAATCTAGGTAATATAATTTAATGCTTTGTTGCTTCAAATTATATATATTTATAGATTTATAGATTACTTGTTTGACTTTGACATAGATTTTTTTTTAAAACGTATAGGTACTTTTTTGCATGATTTTAGCTATAGGAATTAAGAAAGTCAAATTAGTTGCTAATCAGGATCCTACATTTAATAATAATAATTTTTGAATAATAAAATAAATATGTTTGATAGTAGATTTTGAATGATGTTATGATATTGTGTTACAATAGCTAATATTTGATTATAGAATGATGTTATGATATTGTGTTATAATAGCTAATATTTGATAATTAATTTTTTACGGTTATTTTGCATGTACAATAGCAAGAGCAAATTGGAGATTAATATTTTTTTCAATTTAAATATCAAATTTTGTAATTTGATTTATTTTTTGAGTATTTGCAACTAAAATGATTATATATCAATGCTTACACGTTTTATGTTAAATAATTCAAATAAAGTGCATGATTTTATGATGTAATTTAC